TCTTCTTCTTCTTCTTAATAACTTCATTCAGCTCCCTGCGCTCTTCTTCCTCGATAGTCTTCTCCTTGGCAGGACTTCTCAATCTCTTACCGAGATCCGTGCTTTCTTCACTCCATCCACGAGATCCACGAGGTTGGATTTCTAAGCGAACCTACATGTTTCGATTGCAAGACGCTATAAGCAAACAACGTCGGAGGATCTATCATACTGTTTTTTTCAGGGAGAAGAAAGCAATTGGTTTGAAATTCTGTCCCCCTGGATAGCTAAATGGAATGGATTAGAGGAGGCGTGGTTGTGTTTCTTGAAAACTGTCTGGAAGGTGTGTGTGAGAGAGAGAGGGAGAGAGATAGCATATTAGATCAGATCGAGAAGGCTTGAAAGGGCTGCGAAGTTCGAAGTTGATACAAGTTACGAGCGAACTGAAACAGCTGGGCTCGCGCGCGTAGTGGCCCTACTCCGTATTTGTCGTCGGAGCCGTTTACGGAGCCTCGCAACGGGTAGTCCGCAAGCCTTGGCGCCCCCCCCTTCCCTTCTCTGTTGGGCCCTACAACTCCTGGTGTATACAGTCTTGGGTCTGTACGAGCTTTGTATATCTCAAATAAAACAACCGTTTCGATTTATTCTCAGTTGTAAAAAATTAAAATAAAAATAAAAATAAAGCGCTTTCAATAGATTTGATTGTCGTAGATATGCTTGAAACAATGATGATATTGGAATGTTCCTCACAGTCTGGAACTCATATCAATCGCTACCTCGATTAGGTGGATTGGTTACTTATGGCCTTTGCGTTTTGATCGGATACATACGTACATATATATGTATATATTTACATACATATAAACAAACAATCTAGAATACGGTTTACGTCCCCAAAAAAGTAAGAAGAAAAAAGTAAGAAGAAAAAAGTAAGCAGGATTATAAAGCTGAAGTATCTTTAATGGAAAAAAAAACAAAAAAACCCGCTCACGAAAGCCTCGCTCTGAATTTTTTGAATCGCCGAAAAAGAAGGAAAAAAAAAAAGATAAGGTTCAGAATCCCCAGCAATATAGAGTATTCCCCATAAGCATAGCGATTGAGCGATCATGAGTTCCGATGATCATCAGCCGCGGGTGACCGTCCCCTCCTCCTCCTCCTGCTGCTGCTGCTGCTGCGCCGGCCCTACCGGAAGCGGGACCTGGTTGTCGCGATCGTGGTTCGGGGGTGCCAGCTGACATCGGGCCGGTCAGTAAAAAAGGCACTAGAAATAAAAATAAAAATAAGAATGAGAAGAATAAGAAACTTCAATAATTTCAAAATGTGTTTCTACATATCTATTGATAGTTGGTTGATCAGGTTGAGAGTATGACTGTGATGGTAGGATCTATGTAAGTAGAGAAATGTGGGAAGAATGCTGGACTGGGGGAAATGGAGGGATCGGAGTTAAGGACTCGGGATCGGGGGTTAATGGCCCATGCAGCATTGGCACCACCACTAGGTACTACTACCGGTACTTCCCTCTCACCTACTTAGAATAGATAGCTCCTTCTCCTGAGACTTAATATACGTTACGAATCCTACCTATTCGTATCGAGTCTCAACATGGCGTGCACACAATCCCCTTATGCGATACCAACAAGAAAAGAAAAGGGTGTATGCGTGGTATATTGACCTCAAGGAGATAGTCAAGCAGGGTACCTATCTGATTCGTCTCTGGTAGGCACGTAAGCTCGACGACGATTTCGCTTCGTGCAAGGGTACGCAGGCCTGCTTTTCAAAGACGCTCTTTTCCGCCCGGTGACCCGGTGACGGCTCGGCTAGAAGATGGATGGGATTCCCCGTATAGCGAGCGGCTGGCCGGCGTAGCGAAAAAAAAATAAAAATACAAATAAATAAAAATAAGAAGAGGAGGAGAAGACAGTCACAAAGACAAGAAGAAGAAGAAACGGAAGATGGTGGGTACGATCTGGTCCGCATCTCGGGATGTACAGCTTCTAGTTGCAAGTCCTTCCCTCGATTCAGCGCTGATCTAGTCCCTTGCTTTTCGATACGCGACACGAGTGGGAACGGCGAGCTTCTCCGCTGCGCTGCGCTGCGCTGCGCTACGCCGGCGGTTGGAAGATGAAGAAGAAAGTTTCCATCGTGGAGGCCCGGCCGTCAGCCCCTCCTAGAACGCGGCGGAGAGTTCGGAAATATCTCGAGGCCCTATAGCTAGGATAGCATGGCCTACTACAGTAGGGTTGGTTCCGTTCCTGTCTATCTCGGTGAAAGGTACTACGTCGCAGGCGTAAGTATTACCCCTCGAGGGTATGGAAAACAGGGGGTTTAAAGTGGAAACTAAACTTTTAAGGCACCCTCGAGGGGTAATACTTAGGCCTGTACCGTGGTATTCGGATTTGGAATGCAAGAAGCGGGGGGGGAGTCGACTTACTGTATCTTCCCCCGCTGGAAGTGAGTTGTACTGTGTGGATCTTTAGCTTTAGCAGGACATTCACTATAGTCGGATGGGACTGGCTCGAGGGTGATATCGGCGGTGCCAGCCGGACCGGTGCTGGCGCTGGTGAACTTTCTGGGTCCGAGAAAGCTTCTTAAGGGAAGGTGGGATGGGATAGATGGATGTTCTTTTTTTTTTTTTTTTTTTTTTTTTTTTTTTTGGGCGTCTCCGCTGCCGATTTGACGACGTTAATTTCGTCGCTTAGCTCGCTTCCGGATTGGGTGATGGGATGGATGTGCGTGTGTGTGTGTGTGTGCACAGCTGGGGAGTCCGGCTGTAAATAGACTACGGTGTTAGTACGTATTGAATTTTTTCGATAAGGGGTGGGGGGAGGTATGCATAAGTACCGGTATATAGTAGTACGTACCGGTAGTACTGTACAGCATTTGATGATTACCGTAATTACACCTGCGCTCCCGGTAAAGTTTAAAAAGGCGCAATAAGCGACCGAGCCGATCCGTTTTGAGTCCGGAAAAAAAAAAAAAAAAGAAAAGAGCAGACTATAGTTTATTTAGAGTTCGGTCTAAGAGCTGCTCTTGCTGCCTTCTCGCATCAGAGGATACGAAGCTTGGATTCTATTTTCGTACCGGTCGGTGATGGCGAGGTCACGGACAGGATCAATACAATCGGCGGCGTCGAAAGACTTTACGAGATCTTCCGACTTGGAGATTAGAAAAGTCTTTTCCCCGCCTGATGAATGGATGGATAAGATTGAGTTCGCTATATGCTATCTCTAACTTTTTTTTTTAAAAAAAAAAAAGCTGAAATAGATGAGAGGATCGAAGGATTTAAGATGAGCAAGCGATATCGTAGCTACCGGTATTAAAGATGGTGCGAGAGGGAGGGTACGATTGAATCTGCGCAAGATATTGTGATATTGACTTGGTGTAGATTGTAACAGCGGCTAAGAAAGTATGGCTTTATTAGAGCTAGTTAGGAAAAAGGGGAAGGGTGATAAGAGTTATTGTTTCCCATGGTCGTCTGTCTGCTAATCGTCTTTATCTTTTACACCATTATCGTTTACGCATACTTCATAGCAAGAACTTGGAAGCAATCCAGTTTCGCAACCTGAAAGTCTAACTCACGTAGAAATCACAAATCATTGGACATTACGTAGCCATCTCAGCCACCTTCTAGAACGTCCTTTTTTTCTCCAACTTAATTTGTCTTCTTATCCTCTCCCCTTCTGATCCTGCTTCATCTGATAAACTTTATTCTATGCCCCACTAAACCAGTCCCCGTTTTTTTTTTTCTGTGATCCAAATAGCCTTCCAACCTTCCCCGCATGGAATAGTCTCAACTGCCAAAAAAACTTCAAGTCTGCAACCAAATCAACTCTAATCAAGAATTTCAGCAGTAGTTACCATTTCAATCCGCACGCATCCTTGTAAAAAAGAATCATGCTTAAAGTCAAAATAGACTTCTCGCTTCTCTCAACTACCGGTACATACGAGAGAGATAAAGAAGCTTGGCAATGTGAAAAAAAAAAGAAAAAAAAAAAGAAACACGTTTCGATTTCCGGCCTTGGGATCGAAAACATCGCAAATCGTGCTGTATCGTGATGAAAATAGTTTCTTATTTGGAATTTCCTGTTTGATTACCAACCAATATGCGGCTGTCCACCATCCTGCTAAGGAACGAACCAAGATCCGCTACTGAAGCTGGATGAAACATTTAGGAAATTTGAGTACCCGACCCAGCTTTACGTGGCGGCGCATCTCTACGCGCACCCAGCTTCCGCCAGCATCTTGGGAAAGATCGGGGTGCCGAAGCCCGTGACGGCATCCCAGCCCGTGGTGGTCGGGAAACCGGTGGTGTTGCAACCGCCGTTGTAGCCCGTCGTGATATCCGTAAAGGCCTTGTAGCCCTTCTTGTACAGCCAGGGGTTGAGGAAGCCCATCGGCGTCCTCCCCTTGCTGATCCGCGCGTCGTTCACCAAGCCCAGCACGCCGGCCATCAGCGGGCAGGAGGCGGACGTGCCGGACACGATCTTGACCGTGTCGTTCCACACGTACTTGAAGTACAGGCCCTGGGCCGCGAGGTCCGGGTAGGCCCGGCCCGCCGGGTTGAAGAGGCCCCGGTGCTCGCCCTGCATGTTCCGGACGTAGGCGGGCACGACGGCGTCCTGGTAGGAGGGCCGCTTGAAATACTCAGAGAAGCCGGAGCCCGACGCGTAGTAGCCATGCGTCTTGCCATCGGGGCCGTAGCCGTTTGCGGGGCGAGAACAGGACGTCTCGGGCTCGAAACCTTGGGTTGCGCCTACGGCTGTGACGTAGGGGCAGGAGGGGGGGAAGGAGGCGAGGAATTTGAACGTCGCGTCTCCGTCGTTCGAGATGCAGGCCGAGGCGTTATTGCCCGCAATACTTCCCGCGCCTCCGTCGCCGGAGGAGAAGAGCATCGAGATGCCGCGGGCGCCGAGCTGGGCGAAGCCATTGCAGACTCGCTTGGCGTAGTCGAGGGGCACGGTCTGCTCGTCGTCGCCGTAGGAGGTTGAGATGACCTGGGGGAGGGTCTCCTGGGCCAGAACGTGGTTGATCCAGGCGAGGTAGGGCTCGTTTCCAGGAGGATCTCCCGCGGCCTCGTCTGGGATCATCGGAGGCTCGCCGCCTGTAGTGTAGGCGGTGACAGGCATTGGGTAGGTCATCCCGATGATCGTTTGGACGTCGAGATTGGCCTCGACCGAAGCACCATCGGCGAGTTGCGCGGGGGTCAAGGAGCCGTTTTGTTGTGGGCCGTCATCGATGCTGACGAACTTGAAGGAGTCTGCCCCGCTGACGGCTTCTGGCTTATAGATCGACAAGAACTTCTTGGTATCCGGGCGAATGGGTACCTCCGCGAGGAAGTTGTTGAAGCCGATTTGGTTCTTGCCAGCAGCCTTTTGCTTGTACCCTTTGGTCTGGTACAGGGTCGCAAAACAGTCGGGCGTGGTACCGTTTATGGTGCAGACCTTTCTCAACGCTGGGGAACGGGCCTCGTTGATTCCTGGGTATGGCCATGGGATAGTCTCAGCCGCGACGGCCACTTCCTCGCGCTTCATGGCGCGCATGAAGGAGGTAGTGGGTTGAATCGCATCGACGTGCCCGTGGAGATGCTCGGGGAGAGACCAAGTCGGAGCACGGACGATCTCGGTTCCATCCTCGTGCTTGAACGTGTGATACTCGGCATCGAGGAGTCGCTCGGCGGTGCGGACGTTGATTTGGATGTTGATCCAGTCCTGGGCCGGGCTGTATGAGACGTAGACGATGCCGTTGGCTGCCAACCACTCGTGTAGCAGATGGAGGGACTCATCCGAGGGTTTGATCAGCTCGTTGACCTCGTCGTGGGTCAGATGCTGGGGATGGTTAGCGGTGGTGATCCCGTGATATTATGATCACGTGAAATACAAACGTGCATGTAAGTGATGGTAGAATGAATGGGTCACCTACCTTGCCATATCGATGGTGGTCTGGGTCCGAGACTACTCAATGATATATGTCAGTTGTTCCGTTTATTGTTCCATTGATCATGATCATGATCATGATCACCCACCCTCGTTCAGATGACGCTCCAACTCGCCAAAGTTCGACTGCTTCACCCCAATCTGCAGCTTCAACACGGCATCGGCCGGTGCCCGGGCCAGCTTGGTCCATCTGGTGGGCACCCGGTGCTTCTCCTTCACGGCATACGCGGTCCTGACCGCAATCGTCTTGACCGGGCTGGCCCAGATGGACTGGAACTGGACCGCGATGGCCACGGTCAACAGGATCGAGGCTCCCAACATCTTGACTAGGTTGGACTTGAGCTTGAGCTTGAGCTTGAGCTGGGAGAGAGTGGGAAACGATCTTTGATTTATGCCGTGGCATCGTCCTCTTTATACACACGACGTCTGAGTCTGTCGGTGGCGGTATCGATGTCGGTACGATGTCGGTGTCCATGTTCGTGTTTGTGTTCCCGTGCCGGCGGCTGTCGACCGCCACATCTGGCGCTGCATGTTGACCTCAGAACTGGCACATCTCCCAGCATTGGTGGCCGGAAGGGAGGCGATCAGCGGTCGGGTGGGCCCAGTATATGGGGGTGCCTTCTTAATCGGGACAAGCTTTGCCAATCTCGGCTTGGCACTTGGCACTTGGCACCTCGAGTAACGATGGCCGGCCTTCCTGTATGGATGTAGGAGAGTGATCATGACTTCAAGTAGAAGCAGATACGCGAAGGGACCAGCTATCTGATCATCTCATGCTGTTGATGCGCTACAGCGTGAGATCTTCCCCTTCCTGCTCGCTTCAATAGCAGTGGCGCTTGATGTTGTCACACGTGACTGACATGCACTCCCTCGATGCGCCTGGATTCATGTGAGATCACGTGATTACATGTAGTCCTACGACTGTTGTTGTTGTTGCTGTTGTTGTTGTTGTTGGTAACTCACATAGTGGGATGACCCCTCCAAATAAAATCTCAATCAACATCATGCCACCCACTACCAGAAGTCTCAAACCCCATCCATCTAAGATCAATCAATAGGTACCTACCTACCTACCTGCCTACCTCTCGTCCGTAGAACTTGAGTAGAAACAAACGATAGTTAGCAAACACCGAATTTTCAGACATCTCCGTCGTATTTTAGTCCGCGTAACAATCTACTCCCTACGTGCCCTCTTTCGAATTGAGTTCAAGACGGATTACTACCTACTTACTGTACTGGATTCATCAGCACCCACTGCATCACCTGCATCACGTTGTCTCCGCGTCACTCCCGCGCATTTCCCGGCGTACATTATCAGTCTCCCCTCCCATCTTCCCCGTCTCTGAATTTCGAATTCCTGCTACATCACATCAACAGACGACAATACCTTGGTCTCCGTACCAGTACCAGTACCAATCCCAGTACCGTCAGCACCATCATACCATACCCAATTCCCTACACTCGCCTGACAATGGCTTCCGCAACCGCGGAATTTGGCATCGACGTGCTTGCCCGCTACAAGCCCATTGCCCTCGACCCAGCCAGCCCGAAACTCAGCGCAGAGCAAAAAGCCGACCTCCTCTCCAACATCTCCCTCCTCCTCGACACAATTGTCTACTTCACGGCTTCCGGCGCCGCACGGGGCGTATCCGGCCACACCGGTGGCCCCTAGGATACCATCCCCGAAGTCTGCATCCTGGAAGCCTTCTTCAAGCACTCCTCTGAGAAGTACATGCCTGTCATCTACGATGAGTCCGGACACAGAGTCACCACTCAATACCTGCTGAGTGCATTGCACGGACATATTCCCTTTGAGTATCTGCTGCCAGAGAGGCAAACTCGAAGCTGCCCGGTCATCCCGAGTTAGGCCTCACGCCTGGAGTCGCGTTCAGCTCGGGGCGTCTGGGACACCTGTGGAGCTTTGTCAATGGTGTTGCGTTGGCGCATCCCGAGAAGACGCTGTTCATGCTAGGTTCGGATGGCAGTCAGCAGGAGGGAGACGATGCGGAGGCGGCGAGATTAGCTGTGGCTCAAGGCTTGAACGTCAAGCTCTTGCTGGACGACAACGATGTCACAATTGCTGGCCACCCCTCTGAGTATCTCAGGGGCTACTCTCTGCTGAAGACGTTGGAGGGTCACGGACTGAAGACCATTGTGGCTCAAGGAGAGGATATCGATGAGCTCTACGCTGCTGTCTGCACTGCCGTCACTACCGAAGGACCAGCAGCGGTCGTCGTTAAGCGAAAGATGGCCCCGGGAATCAAGGGTCTTGAAGGAAGCACACACGCCGACGACGTGATCCCCGTCAAGAAGGCCGTCGAGTACCTGCAGAGTAAGGGCTACGACCAAGCGGTCTCCAAACTGGAAGCCATCACCCCCAACTCTCTCGCATACCTGTACTCAGGTTCCGGATCGGAGAAATTCGCCAACCGGGTCGTCTTTGGCGAAGCAGTATGCAAAGTCCTCGAGCCCCTCTCCAAGGAAGAAGCCAAGAGGCGTGTATTAGTCATCGATTCTGATCTTGCTGGCTCAACCGGTCTCTCGGTAATCGCCAAGAACCACCCCGAAGTATTCCTCGCATCCGGCATCATGGAGCGTGGAAACTTCACCGCGGCAGCTGGCTTCGGCGCTACCAAAGACAAAGTCGGCGTCTTCTCCACCTTCTCCGCCTTCTGTGAGATGATCATCTCGGAAATCACCATGGCTCGGCTGAACTTCGCCAACGTGTTATGCCACTTCTCTCACTCGGGTGTGGACGAGATGGCCGACAACACGTGCCATTTCGGCCTCAACACTTTCTTCGCTGACAACGGCCTCGTTGATGGCGATACCACCCGCTTGTATTTCCCAGCCGATGCCAACCAGATGCGCGCTACCGTCTCCAAGGTCTTCTGGGACCAAGGTATCCGCCTCGTCATATCCACCGGCGCCAAGGTCCCCTTGATCTTCAAGGAAGGCACCCAGGAGCCATACTACGGCGCAGGCTACGAATTTACCCCTTCCAAGGACGACTTCATCCGCACCGGGAAGGTCGGATACGTAGTCTGCTACGGTGAGATGGTCTACCGTGCTTTAGACGCCGTCGACCGACTGCGCGCGGAGGGCGTAGACGTCGGTCTTGTCAACAAGAGCACATTGAACGTAGTCGACGAGGCGGCGACGCGCATCTACGGATCGGGTCCGTTCGTGCTGGTGGTCGAGAGTCTGAACCAGAAGACTGGGCTGGGTAGCAAGATGGGCACGTGGCTGCTGGAGCGACAGCTGACGCCCAAGTACAAGTACATCGGCACCACCAAGGAGGGCTGCGGCGGGCTGGGCGAGCAGATCTTCCATCAGGGACTGGATGCTCAGAGTGTAATGAAGGCAGTGAGGAGTTTGCAGTAATGAAATTGAGGCCACGAGAGATGCATGCGAGGTGTGCGAGCGACTGCGATACCAATGTACGACGAGAAATTAATCATGATCTTTACTTAATGGACAGGCAGGGGCAGTACCGGTAATACACTTTCTCCCCGTGCTCTGGGGTGGCTCGTGTGAGCTCGGTAGAGTTGTCACCTGTACGTCGCTCGATGCTTAAACGAATTCGAATCGCGTAATCCCTGAAAGCTTATATCAGAAAGCGTATCGCTTATCTATGTCTGCTATTCATAGAATCTTAATCTTTTTGTCATCTCTCCTCTCTCCTTCCTCTTCCTTCTCTTCCCGAAGGATTCCTGGGGGTAATTATAAACATACTTTCTCTGGGGTGCAGTGGATCATTTCCGATGCATTGCTTATCTCAATCCATCGCCGCGTCACGGGGTCCGAAGCCGTCTATCTGGCATCATGGCCCATGGCCCATGGCCCATGGCGAGGCCGATGAACCATCTCTCTGTCTCGCTTGGCACGAATATCGCCGCCGCTTGATCCCAATCCGAAAAAAAAAAAAGGCCCTTTCGCCTACACCGCACGGCGTCGACCCCCAAGCACGAGGCCGCCTACCACCAGCATCTGACGGAGGTACTGTACCACAGTACAACAGTAACAGTACAACCGTACAACCGTACAACCGTACAACAGTACAACAACACAACAGTACAACAGTCCAACAGATGCAAGAACAGGAATGGCCGGGTCGTGTCGGGTCGTGTCGGGTCGTGTCGGGTCGTGTCGGGTCGTGCCGGTCATCGGCTCCAAAGTTCGTGTTCATGACGCGCTGCCCGCATACCGACGGCGAGATTCCTCAGGATCACGGGGAAAAGATGCCCCGTGCCGGCCGAGCCCGAGCCGGGAGCCTCAAATGAAATCTTCTTCGGGCCTGCCGTGCGGCTCGTCACGTGTGGGGGCTCTCCCTCTCGTCACTGCTGGCCCCCCCATCCACCAGTCCCCAGTCTAACTGCGATCTAGTCTACGGACTAGACGACTAGACGACGACTAAGCTACCTAGTCGATCCCTTGATCCCACACTCGTCCCCTTCTCTACTTCCCCTCTCCAATTAATCTTCGTCCATATCCAATTCCCCATGTCATTGAGATAGGAAATCCGAATCCGTCCGTATCTTTCTCGGCATTGCACTATTCCTATCTCTCCTCCTGGTTTGCTTCTATTTTTTATATATCTCAGCAGCAAGCCCTCCCTCTCCTCGTCACATCTCATCATCCCCCCTCCCCCCTTACCCCTCCCCCCTCAACATCACACGTCTCCTCTCACCCTC